CTTGGAAGACATCTTTGAACTTACCAGATTTAGGATATGTGATTATGAATATATCATCATCTCGGATTTCCAAACTGTCCAGTAAATCTATACCTTCGGGTGAAGACAAGCCATTTACGAAATAGATTCCTTTGTATTTATATAGGAAATCGTCCTCTGGCTCCATTACTTTGGCTGTTGATAATAATATAGCAATTAACAGTACTTCCTACATTTATGGTCAATATTAATTTAGTTCTTTAAAAATCATGACTCCTGCTAACATAAAGAAAAACAATGTATATATTATTAGATTACTTTCCCTAATTAATTAATTAGTTTCATGAACTCAATTTTCATCCACAAAAGTTTCCATTACAAACAATAAATTTGGTGTTCTTCTTGGAGTTCTGTGTAGAAGAGAAAGTCTTAATTACACTATTAACAACATACTAGTTGCAATTTTTTTCTTACCTTGCCTTACCTTACCTAGTCTCCAACTGTCACTCATGTCATGTCCTTTAGCCAACTTATATTCCTGTAGAGTGGTGAAATATTTAAGAAGGCTGATCTTTAGTCAATCATTGTGTAAGCGGTGCTTCTGTATTCCAAAAATGAGCAAGAGAGGACATAGAACACGATTAAGTAATAACCTAATTAACAAGAGAAAGACTATCTTCTCTCAGGCAACTTTATCAAAACATGTCTAACCATTCAATCCAATATAGCACAATCAACACAAGCTGTGGCAAGGCTAACACTGCCACACTTCAAAAGTACCTCAGAAACCAGACTACTATATTACAAACACATGTCATCATAGTAGATAGATAACCTTTATTGACATTTTTTTACTGTAGGCACAATGGCACACATTAAAAATGAAATTTAGTTGTTTGCTCTCAAAGTGTACACATACATAACAAACATTTAAACATACTATATACAACATATGTACAGACCTACACCCTTACATATAAGTAACATAAATATTAATCACTGTCCATCTTTAATGCATAACAGAAGGAGGAAGCTTTAGAATTCACAAGATTAATACTGTATGGAACAAAACTGTGATTGAATCTGGATGTTCTGCTTTGAATACCATGAGCCTCCTCCCAGAAGGTAAGAAGGAAAACAGGTTGTGAAGAGGATGTATAGTGTCCTAGACAATCTTGTGGACTCTCCTCAAGCAACACTTATGTGCTATGTCCTGGATGGAAGGGAGGGAACTGCCAATAATCTTTTCTGCCATCCTCACCACTCTGCACCGCCTTCCTTTCTGAATCAGTAATGCTTCCAAACCAGACTGTGATGTTGTATGTAGCACACAAACCATCTAAACTCTAAAGTGATACATTTTTGTTCCACAAATAATGAGTATTGATAAAATAGACACTAGTTATTTGCAAGAATTTTGGAGTGAAGAATTGAAATTCTTATACTCTTCCTGAGACCATGGAGCAAAAGGGTGGAGGGTTCATGGCTCCTATCTCAAAGGCCTTCTGCCTCTTCTCACCCTGGCCTCACCTCCTGCTTTGAGATAGCAGTGTAAGAGTCAACCCTGACTACCCGAAGAACTTGAGGTTCCAAGAGGACAAATCAGGAGACTCAAGGGGAGGCTTCCAAGGTAAACAGCACTTTAATTGATCAAGTGAAGATGCAGGGTGGAACACTGTCTGAAACACTGTCAACTGTGTTCAGAAGTGCCACACCTTGGTCAGTCAGGCATTTCCTTATTTAGGCAGCAACAGCCAATCACAGAGTTACACATGTCAGTAAAACATAGTATCAGCCAATCACATTTTATTCTTTTCCCGCTCTTTTCCTTGTCTCTGGATCTGCGTACGTGTTCTTCCTACCTTGGGAGCTGCTGTTCTAAGAGATTCTGTGCCTTTCTTTCTTCACCCAGCCAATGGATTGAAAGAAGAGGCTCTTGCACCCTTCTGCTTGCGTGGATATAAAGTGAAAAAGGGAAACAATTTGTATAGCACCACCTTCAGATTGTATAACATTGAGGCACGTGACAGGAGCAATCAACTTTAACTTCTTCCCACCCCATCCTGGGAGCAAGAGCAATCTCTCAAGAGACAATGAAGTAAAATTTCATAGAAAGAAAGAAAGAAAGAAAGAAAGAAAGAAAGAAAGAAAGAAAGAAAGAAAGAAAGAAAGAAAGAAAGAAAGAAAGAAAGAAAGAAAGAGTTAAAAACTTTAAATATTAGCATACAAACCCATTGCATGAAGGGTAAAGGAAATAAATACAGCCTCATTTTTTTTTTCAAAAAGCATTTTCAGCAGCTTGATTTATTGGTGAGATTTATCCTTGCCTCAGCACTTAAAAGACTCTAGGTCATTTGCGGATATTAATGCTTAATAAATAATAAATAAACATAAAGCATACTAAATAAAGCAATGCGAAATAATAACAAATTACCAGACCATTGAAGGTAATATTGGGGTTAATGAAGCCACTCAGTCCCTTAAGCTTTCTGGAAGAGATACTGAGAGTTCCTGCCTCTAAGCTGTTGTGAATATTTGCACTTTTCTTGCAAGCAGGAAACCTACATTCACAGCTGTATTTCCAAACTTCATCATCTTTAAGATGTGTTGATGCAGAGATTTCAGTTCTCAGAATGCCCAGCCAGCATGGCTATTGCTACTAATTCTAGGAGTTGAACTCCCTGCAACTCAAAATTGCCAAGTTTGTTTGCTTGTTTAATTTCCATAGCCACCTATCTCAAGTCAATGACTCTGAGAAGCTTACAATTAAAAAAAAATATTATGATTAACCCTAAAACAATTAAAAAAATAAAAATACTGAAAAACTAAAAAATCCAGATTAAATATACATAAGAGCAAGTTACATGCCCAGTTATGAAATACTAATTCATAGCAATGTTCCATATTAACAAATCAATGGTTAGGGATTTTAAAGAATATTTGGAATGTTTGGGTTTTTGATATTTAATATTAAGAAAATGTATTTTTATTGAACATTTCAAAGAAAGGATTGGCTATCAACTTATTTTGGAAATGTAAGACAGATAAAGGAGTACTTTCTTATCTGATGTAGAAGAGTTCTATCACTCTGGTCTCATTTTCTATCCATAAACCTATTGAAGTGTTGCTATAAAAATCAGTATGTTTTAAAGATACAAGTATACTTCTGATTTACATGCCAAGTATTTGGAATATATCATTATATGAAGAATTATGATTTACCAATAGGAAATGCGGCAAGAACAATGTTATTGCATTCTTATTGTTCAAACCTGGATTCCAATCTTAGATTAATCATATATGAGTCCTTTCCATATGTAAACTTACCAGAATTGTTATATTATTCTCCCACTCCAAAGGGGACAGTACTTCTTTGTGGGGGAAGCCCCTGCATGCTCTATGTAAGAGCTGTGCTGAATAGGTGCAATCATACCAGAAAGGTCTTAGCTGAAAAGTCAGCCTAAATCTGTTTCATAAAAATCCATTCAATATGGTGAGAATACATAATTAGAATTTCATACTGGATCAGCTGTTGGCCATATTAACAAGAATCGCATTGGATGTCATGGCTTCTGAGTATGCATTTAAAAATGTACCATAGAGCTCAGCTCCTTCTCTAGACAACCTGGACATGGAGCTGACGGGCTGCTGGAAGGCAACTGAAAGGAAAGAATTTGGCCAAAGGAAGAAAGGAGAATTTTATAAATGCATGGAAAACGAAAGCTGTAGGGTTCTGAGGGGCCTAGTGTGGTTATTGTATAATCTGTATGGGACATGATGTGTTTCAGGCTATGTAAGGAATAATTTCATTGTGCAGTGTTGCAATCTTTGATTGAACTGCATGTTCTTGATTTGTGTAGACACTGATAACAGTTTGTTTTCTCCAGAAGTAGCCAAGTTCAATACATTGGGGTTAATAATTGTAGCAATGTTGTTCATCCTAATTTTATGTAACTGCTCATTTATTCAAATAGATGCTGGCAAATATTCAGCTGTCACTTTAAACTTTGTCAGTTCAGATAAAATGGTTGCTCAAACATTCTGACTACCGTAGTCAATAAGGGATCAGAAGGTCATAACAAATCACTTCTATATTATTGTTACCTTCGTGGATATTTCCATGGAGTAAATTGAAGGGGTCTACACCATTTTATGTGAGCGTGTAGGTGGTTGGGTAGGTTGGTATATGTGTTTTCAGTATCAGAGGTTTGATCAATAGCTCTCATACAATCCAAGGGATGTCTTATTATGCTTTTCTCAAAGCATTTTACAGTATTAAGAGTTTTGGTGGCGCAGTGGTTAGAATGCAGTATTGCGGGCTAATTCTGCCGACTCCCAGCAGTTTGTTGACTCAGCCTTCCATCCTTCCAAGATCGATAAAATGACGACCCAGATTGTTAGGGGCAATATGATGACTCTGTAAACTGCTTGGAGGGGGCTGTAAAGCACTGTGAAGTGGTATATATGTCTAAGTGCTATTGCTATTGCTGCTACCCACTGGAAGAGCAAATGAGGACAAGCCTGGAAAACATTTGAGAACTATTGTCCTATTGCACATATATCCTTCTTGATCAAGGTACTTGAANTAGGGATGTATATATGTAACACTTCATGGTTTCAGGAGGGGGCTATAAATATGAAGATCAAAAGACTTTCAGATATGGTTTCCACCCTGCATTTACCTTGCTTACTATGGGTTTCTTGGAGCCTGAGAACGAGGATAATGGTTTGCAAAACATGATTAACTTGGAACATTGCACATTTGTCCATTATCAGAGGAATGCTTAGCCACCTCCTTGTCGATCAAACAGTTCTTACAAATCTGCATTGATAGTTTTTGGGCAGGAAGCTGTTACCTTACTATTTTAACTACTGTAGAGCTGGATTACAGAGGGAAGACTTGATAGAAGGGCAAAGATATCTCTACCTAGAAGATGTTGAATAATTCCCCTGCCATAGGTATCTCTTATTGGGAAGTCATAGAACTAATGGTTACCAGTGAGGTTCAAATAATCTTGAATTCACCCTGTTGGAACTGGCCCCATGATTAAGTGAAATGACTGATGGTTCTTTGAGCATTGTCTATGTCTGTATAGGTTAAAGGAGGCAGTTCTAAGACTGGAAGACCGTGCCCCAGGTGGAGAGTGGAAAAGCTGTGTCTCCACCACCCAAAAGTGGCCAGTGTCACCTAGAACGATCCCACTCCCAAAGGATCATTAGACTATGCAAACAACACATTAGTCATAGAACAATCAAATTATATTCATGCCCAAAATTTGTCAGGATGAAAAAGAAGACACCACCTTAACATTGGTACAGCTAAGAAAGACATATGATTGTCTCAGATACATGCTGGCAATCAGACTAATGCAAAATCATGGAGAGTCAGTAGAAAGAGAGAGAATGTAAGGACATGTTTATACAATTTAAAAAGTGCCTTTCAGATGAAGGCAGTAATTCTGGTTTCAGATGAAGCCTGCCATATTCCACAAGCATAGCCTCAGGAGTATG